CTCATCACAGCCATCTGCGGGGCTCTTTCAGAATTTAGCCCCACTGGTGAGTCTCAGCCACTAGGATTTAGAACTGGGGCAGTCATCAGTAACTGAAGGTAAGAATGCCACCAGGCCAGAGTGAGTGCAGGTCACAGGGTGGCCTCTAAGAGCTCAGAGGCTGCGGCAGGCAAGGAGATCTGGAAGAGATGGGACCATAGCTAGGCCTGAGGCCCCAGGTGGAACAGCAGAGTGGGGGATATGAGCTGGGAGGGAGCTGGGTAAGGACTCGAGCTGGGCAGGGAGGCCAACACCACGCCTTGTGCCCCAACCAGAGCTGACAGACGGGCTGTGTGCCCACAGACAGCTCCAGGCTCGGCTTCCTCCTCAGAAACAGCAGGTCAGCTGCGCATCCTGGTGAAAGACACTCACAGAAACTGTCCTCCAGCCAGGACCAGGAAACAGCCACCATAGCCACCAACCACACGTGGTTTCTTTCTGCAGTTCCCTTTCTCCTCAGCTCACTTTTGCTCTGGAGTCTCTGCTGGTTTCTCAGCACCTCTCCTTGAACAGACCAGGACCTAATTCCAGGCTGGTTCTGGTAGGCCAGTGCTTCCCTAAGGATGAGAATGGATAATTTAGCTGGGGCAGAAATATGAAATTAAAAAATGTTGGATGACGAAGTGAGAACATTTTATTTTTTTCCCCATCTGTTTGCACATGAATGGGAGTCTCAGGTTGGTCCCAAGTCTAACACTTACTAATCCTCCCTTTCAACAAAGACAGCAGACCTAAGAGTCAATGCCTTCGGCCAGCAGCCGTAGCCAGTTAGTACTGAATCACATTGTTCTCCTGCAGTGCTTCCAAAATTCTCCAGACCCAGCCAGAGTCAGTTCAACCTCGTTAGACAATGGGGCCTGCTCAAGGGTCCCTGCAGCCACATAGCATTATTAAAGGGCTTTGTGGTAGCATCGTGGGCACCTTTACTTTTGTTAAGCAGGTGCTATGTCTTGCGCGACCGGACAGTGGAAGGGCGACGCGCTTGTTGCCTGCCTCAGCCCTCACATCCCATTCGCTTCCAGTCCTGCCACCCCTGTTTGCCTTAGGTTGGATTCCCTAGAAATAGAGCCCGAGGCAGGGACTTGAGTACTTTCCATTTATCCAGGAAATGTTCTTCAGGAAAAATCTCCAAAGGGGCAGTGGAAGCAGGATAGGAAAGAGCAAAGAACAGAGCAAGAATGTGGTCTCATGTAAGGTCTAGGCTGGGCTCCGCCCTCTGTGCCACAGGGTCGCCCCTGCCTTGGGGCCGGGGCTGGGCCTTTTGCTCCTTCCGTGGTCGGCCAGTGGCTGCGCACGAGTGGCGGTGGTGGTGGTGCTGAGGCGTGTCATCTCTTGGTGGAGGAGGCTCAAGCCGGTGGAGGCAGTTTTCTAGAGAAGGGGGCAGCCTAAACTCATAGCATCCTGCCCAGGTAAAGAGGATTTGGCTGGGGTACCGAGAGCATCCACTACAGCCACCAAACAGCCCGCCATCCAAGCACCTTTCTCTACCCCACCACCCTGATCCAAGCCAGCAAGTCTCCCCTGGAAGACTCAAAGCCTTCTCATTACGCCCCACGTAGCCAGGCAGGCGGGTCTACATCAAACTGTCTGCACCTGATAGTCGAAGTGGTCCTTGGAGCATATTGGTCTTGATGAGTCACTCTGACACTTAAAAACCCTGAGTGCCGGTGCCCTGCAATGAGAATAAAACTCAAAGTCCTTGCCAGGCCTATAGGATGTGCGGTTATTTACCTTGGCCATTTACCCCCTCCTCACTGTGTTCCAGCCACACTGGCCTTCTCTCAGTTTCTAGAACATACACATCTTTCCCACCTCATAGCTCGTGCACATTTTGTCCTTTCTGCCTGGTGTGTTTTTCCTTCTCCTTTCTGCCTGATTCTTGTTTACCCTTCAGGTCTTAAATTTCACTTTCACCAGGCGGTTTTCATGACCTCTGGGAATCGCTTCATGTAGTAAATCTGCCGGATTTAAATGTCACTTTCTCAGCTACAACAGATCCCCTGTACTTATACCACTCTGCTTTTTCCTTTCATAGCATTTATCATAATTTATATTTCTATTTCTTAAAGTCTCTGGCTTTCTTCACTATAAGCTACAAGAGGCCAGGAACCACGTCTGTTTAGTTCACGGCTGTGTCAAGCACCAGGCACATAGCAAGCACTCCACAAACACTAGGTGAATGAATGAATACGTGAACCAGTCACCCTGCAAGTGACAAGATGAGCCAGGTGAGACCTCTAGCCCCCAGCCCTGGAGGAACTTGTAGCACTGGGAGTGCTGCATAGTCACAGACCCACAAGGCTGTTCTATAAAGGTGGCATGTACAGAATGCCCTCTTGCAGAGAGCAAGAAACATTTCACAGAAGGGGGAGGCAATGCCAGGGCTGATGTTTGCCAGATGACAAAGCACAGACAGCCCCGGCTGGAGATGGAGGGATGTGCGGGTGTGGGGTTAGGCAGGATCCAAGAGGCCTCGGGATGCCATGCCGAGGAGTTGGGGCCCCAGCGTCGGATCCCCACTTCCCAAAGCATGCTCACACAGGAGCACTGATCTCACAAGGCTTGGTTTGTTTTTCCTTTTGAAAAACATTTTTTATTTTCTGGGTTAAAATATACTGCCAAGTATTGTGTGTGTGTATGTGTTATCTCATTTAATCTCCACATTATTATCCCTAATCACAGATGAGCAAATAGGCCCTGAGGTGGCAGGTAGCTTGTTTGAGATCAAATAGTTAATAGAAGATGGAGCCAATGCTCTGACTCAACAGGTGGAAACAACACTTTCTTAAATATTCCATGTTAAAATGCCGACTAGTTTGTTAAAAAGGCTGAAGTGTCCTGAAGGGTGCTTTTTCAACTTTCAACAAAAGGTTTTGACACATTAGTGGATTGTGAAATGATTTTGGCCAGCATAAGAAATAATAACATTTAAAAGATAAAGAAAACACTGGAAGGCATCACACAGTTCCATAAAACTTTTGCTCCAATTATCTATATACTTGAATCCTTCAAGGAAGCTGGCTTAAGTTAGGATGGTACAACAGGCTTCTAGAGGCTGAGGAAAGCCAACCTTTGACTCACTAGATTTGGGGAAGAAATCATTCTTGGCTCATTGAGCTTTTTGTCCTATGCTCTTTTTCAGGGGAGCCAGTTTTGTGTCAACCTTTTCTCTCCCCACCCCACCCCCCTTTTTTTTTGTGACAGGGTCTTGCTCTGTCTCCCAGGCTAGAATGCCGTGGTGTTATCATAGCTCACTGCAACTTCAAACTCCTGGGCTTGAGTGATCCTCCTGCCTCAGCCTCCCAAGTAGCTGGGACTACAGGCGTGTGCCACCATGCTCAGCTAATTTTTCTATTTTTTTTTAAGAGACAGGGGTTTCACTGTTGCTCAGGCTGGTCTTGAACTCCTGGCCCGAAGTGATCCTCCCACCTCAGCCTCCCAAAGTGCTTGGATTACAGATGTGAGCCACTGTGCCCAGCCCTGAAAAGTCATTTCTTTCACATCTTCTCCAAAAAGGGAGAAAGAAGACTTTATTCTAAAGAATCTTACATTTTACTCCTAAGTTCCTAAACCCAGTTGCCTTCAAGAGAAATTTTGAGGTTGTATCTTCTTGGGCCATGGGCACAGGTTCCAACTACTCCAAAGGGGCTGATCTGACATGCCTTGTGGGGTCTGGTGGGAGCTGTAGGGCCACAGGAGGTGGGCCGGTGGGTCTTGCCTTGCAGAGTCACCTTACTCTCCCCCTATGAGATCTAAAATCCTCGGAGCCCTGAGGATGCATTTCCAAAAGAGCTGACACTGTGCCACCAGAGCTGGGGAGTGGGATTCTCTCTCCTGCCACCTCTAAAGAGACAGCACTGAAAAGAACGTGATCTTCAGAGTCACATGAGCCTGGACCTGAACCTCAGCCTCAGACAAGTTCTTGTTCTGATTGTTTCCCAAAGTGAAAAGTTATGGATAACACCATCTACCTTGCAGAGCTGTTGGGAAGAGTAAATGGCACCTTAGCATAGGCAGGGCCATGATGTTAGCTCCCCTCTTACCTTGAATATCTTTTCCCTAAATGCTTCCCAATTCAATGTTTGCTTCCTGCTCAAACCTTTATATAGCAACCTGTCAAGACCAATCACATTGCCTAGTGTTGCTGCTTTTCTCTGCTGGCTTGTAAACTCAAGTTCAGAGACTCTAAACTCTGGCACACTGCCGAGGGCTGGTTGTGCTCACATTGACAGTCTGTTAAAATGGAGCGTGATCCAGTACATCACTTAGTGGCTATGCAAACTTGGGTAATTTGACCCATCTCTGCCTCAGCTCCCTCATCTGAATAGTAGTGAATTAGATTCTCCACTTCTTAGAATTGTCAGGAAGTTTAAAAGGGTTAATACGTGTAATGCACTTAAAACTGAACCTGACACATAGAAGCACTTGCTATTATCATCATCCCATGTTATCTTCCCTACATTTCTTTGCCAAAAGTAGGGAAGAAAAGGCACATCTAAAAGCCAATCCTCTGATCTCAGCATTCTATTTATTCTCTTTTTAGAAATCTTGGGTAAAACTTGGTAGTCTAATTCTAATTCTCCACCACGCCTAAGAACATCTAAGTTTCCAGAAACCTCCTGGGCCACTTCTAACCGCCAGATGGCCAAGCTACAGAGTGATTATTTCCTTAGTCAAGCAAACACTTCAGCCCTCTAATATGGTATTTCCTGGGGCTGGAATATCAACAGGAAGTCCTGTGGGGAAAAGCTCTGCCAAGATACTCATTCCAAGGAAGGGATTGGTAAAGTGACAAATTTGCCCAGTCCTGGAGAACATCCTGCATCCTCCACATGCAGCCCCTGTTGCAGACCTCACCCACCGGTAGTCGCTGCTGACTGACACTATTCCTCTTCTTTGGGTTCTGGAAGGAGAAGTATAGATATGACCCTATGTAAGAAAACCACACAGAGAAGTTGCACTTACAAGCAGTTGGGCCATTTATTGGCTTTAGGAAAGCATTCCTTTAAACGAGGGAGGAGATCCTGAACACCGAAGTCTCACCCTTTTAACGAAAACTTGAGCCCAAACTCTCTATCTGGACACAGCTTAATCACGGCCAGAAGAATTCAAGTTAAATAACTTGAACCAGTCCTGCTACAAGATGATAAAGGGAAACGGGGGTGGGGGGGGGAGTAGTTCTTGCTTTCACATTACAACGTTTCGAGCACAAGAAGTTAACAATTACCCAGGGCAGTGTTTCCCAAGGCACAGTCATAGTCCCAAGCTCTAAGAGAATTTTCTGGGAAACAGGGACGCACCTGCCTTGGCTCTGTTGCATGGCCTGCAGTTGACGACCCAAGTTAGTAAAAACCTACGATCGGCTGACACCCTCCCAGAATCTCCAGCATCAGGCCTCGGTGTTCCCATCTGTCAACAGCAGCCGTGGAGAGAGAGAGGGAGACCAGCTAGGCTTCCAGATCGAAATCATCGCGCTCCTCATTGTACTCCAGCACATGACGCTTGATCTTGGAAGAGTCGACCCAAGTGACAAAGTCCTCCATGCTGCGCGTGACAAGGAAGGCGGGGTCAGTCACCACGTCGGGGCCCACGCGCACGTGGCCTTGCTCCACGAAGGCCACGGCAGCCTGGAGGTGCTGCGCCATGCGTAGCTTGAGGAGCACAGTAGGCAGGCGACGGCGGCAGAAGGACGAGGCCGTGACGAAGTTGCAGAGCTCCAGCGAGCCGCGCGTGGGCACCAGGCCGAGAGCATACAGCTTGTCCAGCAGCGCGGCCGAGGCGCGCACGCGGAACGGGTCGCGTTCGGGCAGGTCGCGCAGGCGCCGCGCCAGCTCGCGCACCGCACGGCTCAGCTGGTTGTAGCGCGTGTAGTCCTCGCGCCGCTGCAGCCGATAGCGCCGCAGGACTCGCAGCTCGTGCAGGTTGTGGTCGGTGACCTCCCAGTTCAGGAAGTCCACCTGCTTCAACAGCTTCTGCTCATGGAACTTAAGCTTCCGTACCATGATGGCGGCAGCCGAGTGGCCGGACCTAAACGTGAGAGCGCGTTCAGACGCCCGAGCGACTTCCGCGGCGGCGCGCCCAGGCAGGGCGCCTTGGGACCCTGGGCCAATGAAAGAAAGGCTCAGAGCCACGCCCTCATTTTCCATTGGTCAGAGTGGGACCACGCTCCCGCGTCTGTATCTCGCCAGTCTTCTCTTCCGGTTCACCCAGGGAGAGGGAAGAAGCACGAGAGAAAGGCGGTGGGGGGCGGGGCCGGCGGTGGCTTCTCGCGGTTTTTAGTAGCCGAGAGCACATCCTGTTCTGTGGTAATAGTTTCCTCTTAGTGTTGGGCTGTTTGTGGATTCTCCCCGCAAGGAGTGTCTCCCCGCAAGAGCTGAGGAAGCCAGTTCTGGGGAAGAGGGGTGACCACAGGTTTATTTGATTGGGTTCCTACCACCCCGTGGGGTTCTTCCCGGAGCCGGCGTCCCGGGCTGACCAAGAAGTTCTCGATCCCCGCCAGCGTCAGGTCCTTTGCCAGGCGGGCGGAGGGGTTTCTCTTTGCCGAGTAGCACTGGGCGGCACCGAACCCGTGAAATGCTGATTGCTAGGCCTCTTCCCAGACGCACAGAATCGGGATCTACAGCGTAGCCGTCTGGAAATCTGTGTTAACAAGAGAGTCAGTTGATTCATAAAACCTGGCGAGTTTGAGAAACTTGGGCTGTAAATGCAAGTCTTAACCCTTCAGTCTGGGCTCAGACGAATTAGCCTGACGTAGTGGATTTCTGGTCACCAAGCATTGAATTAACAAATTTAACGCGGTTTCGGCTAGTTACATCTGTTTACTTCTGAGTGTAACGCTGCGGGCCTAACGCCTTTTTGCCCAGACCTTTGACGCCACCTAGCTTCTTAACTGGTGATTTTCTTTTATTTCGTATGCTTTGCATTGCTTTTAAAATATATTCGATACCTGAAGAAAAGTATATGTAAGTTTTAAAGTATAATGAATACTCATGAACCTAACGGTCGGTTTAAGAAAACATCACCAGGACGTATACCAACCATTCTGTCCTCCCAGAAGTAAAGGTCTCTCCTCTCTTGAATTTTGTGCTTATTTCTTTTTGTTTAAAAAGAAATAATTTTGGCCGGGCATAGTGGCTCACGCCTGTAATCCTAGCACTCTGGGAGGCCGAGACGGGCCGATCGTTTGAGCTCTGGAGTTGGAGACGAGTCTGAGCAAGAGCGAGACCCCGTCTCTACTAAAAATAAAAAAAATTAGCTGGGCATGGTGGCGCATGCCTGTAGTCCCAGCTACTTGGGAGACTGAGGCAGGAGGATCGCTTGAGCCCAGGAGTTTGAGATTGCTGTGAGCTAGGCTGACAGCTCTGCACTCTAGCCAGGCAACAGAGCAAGACTCTGTCTCAGAAAAAAAAAGAAAGAGAGAAAGAGAAAGGAAGGAAGAAAGAAAGAAAATACAGGATCTCAGGCCTCATTCCTGACCTACAGAATCAGAATCTGCATTTTAACAAGATCCTCAGATAAACTGTGTACACACTGAAGCTTGTATGCAGTGACAACACTCTGAGAAATGTCGCATAGAAGACATCACACTGTATGGCGTTTGTTACATGTGGATGTGATCACAGCTTTTTTCCTATTGCATAATCTTCCATTGTTTGACTATTAATGGATTTTCCTCTTGGATTTTTTGGAAGGACTATTTTTAGCAGCACTGCCATTAAAAATCTTGTACATGTCTCCTGTTGCACATAGGCAAATAGTTTATAGTGTACTTCCTGGAGTAGAATTACTGAGTTTTAAAGTATATGCATGTTCAACCTCGCCAAATTGTTTTCCAAAGGGCTTGTATACCAATTTATACTCCTTTGGCAGTGCATGAGAGTTCCCTTTGCTCTTCATTCCCACCAATGCCTGGTTGTTAGTTTAAAACATTTTTGCCAATCTGATGAGTATGTGATGGTATTTCATTGTGATTTAAATTTGCATATTCCCTGACTAATATGAATTTTGTATGTATTTCCTCCTCCATGAAATGCTTCTTTTGTCTATTTTTCTTTTGTATTGTGTGGTAAGTGGAATAATGGCCTCCCAAAGATGTTCACCCAGAACCTGTGGCTGTGTTTCCTTATGTGTCAAAAGGACTTTGCAGGTCCTTTGCAGGAAGTCCTTTGCAGGTGTGATTAAGGATCTTGATGGCCTGCGCGGTGGCTCACCCCTGTAATCCTAGCACTCTGGGAGGCCGAGACGGGCGGATCGTTTGAGCTCAGGAGTTCAAGACCAGCCTGAGTAAGAGCGAGACCCTGTCTCTACTAAAAAAAATAGAAAGAAATTACCTGGACAACTAAAAATATATAGAAAAAAACTTAGCTGGGCATGGTGGTGCATGTCTGTAGTCCCAGCTACTTGGGAGGCTGAGGCAGTAGGATCGCTTGAGCCCAGGAGTTTGAGGTTGCTGTGAGCTAGGCTGATGCCACGGCACTCTAGCCTGGGTGACAAAGTGAGACTCTGTCTCAAAATAAATAAATAAATAAATAAATAAAAGGATCACTCTGACTGCCATGTTGAGAATAAACCATAAGGAGACAGGGATGGAAACCCATGAAGAGGCTGTTGTAGTGATCCAAGATGGTGGTTGGGACCAGAAGAGCAGTAGTGAGATGCTGATGGAAGAATTCCAGGATGTGAGAAGAGTCAAGAATGACTCCAGTTTTTGGCCTCAACAACCGGAAGAATGTACTCGCCATCACCCGAGATGGGGAAAGCTGCAAGTAGAACAGATTTGGGGGTCAATATTAGAAATTCAACTTTAGACATGTGGAGTTGGAGATGTCCATTAGACATCCAAGGGAAAAAGATACTCATATATCTTTGGAGGTTTTTTTTCTTGTTTTTGTTTGGGTTTTTTGAGAGACAGAGATAGGGTCTTGCTTTGCTGCCCAGGCTGGAGTACAGTGGCATGATCATAGCTCACTATGATCTCAAACTCCAGGGCTCAAGCAACTCTTTCCACCTCAGCCTTCTGAGTAGCTAGGACTACAGGTGTGTGTCACTACACCCAGCTAATTTAAAAATTTTTTTAGAAATGGGTGCTTCCTATATTGCCCAGGCTGGTCTCAAACTCCTGGCCTCAAGTGATCCTCCTACCTTGACCTCCCAAAGTGTTGGGATTATAGGTGTGAACCACCATGCCTGGTTCCCTTGAATATTTGAAAAAAACTTGGGCTGGAGGGAAAAGAAAGGGCATTACTGGCTTATAGATGGTGTTTGCAGCTATGAAGCTTGATGAGATCATCAAAGGAATGAGTATAGATAAAAGAGACGAGGATCACTCCGCTGTGGTCATTCTAATGTTAAGAGTTATTGGAGAGGAGAGGATGAACCAGTGAGATAGAAGGAAAACCAGGAGTGTGTGGTCTCTCCAATGTGAGTGAAGAAAGTGCATCCAGGAGGAAGGAGCGATCACTGGGTCAAATGCTACTGAGAGGTTAAAGTAAGATGAGGACTGAGAATAACCATTAGGATCCAGCAACACCAAGGTTATGGATGACCTTGACAAGAATAGGTGAGTGGAATGTGGGCATGGCTAGAGGGATTTAAGAAGAGAAAAGGAGGAAAGAAATTGAAGGCCAGCCGGGTGCGGTGATTCACGCCTGTAATCCTAGCACTCTGGGAGGCCGAGGTGGGAGGACCACTTAAGGTCAGGAGTTCGAGACCAGCCTGAGCAACAGCGAGACTCCCATCTCTACAAAAAATAGAAAAATTAGCCAGGCGTGGTGGCCTGCACCTGTAGTCCCAGCTACTCAGAGGATCACTTGAGCCCAGGAGTTTGAGGTTGCTGTGAGCTATAATGATGCCACTGCATTCTAGCTGGGGTGACAGAGCCAGACACTGTCTCAAAAGAAAAAAAAAAAAAAGAAATTGGAGGCAACTAGTGCAGATGGCTGTTTCAAGGGATTTTGCTGCATAGGTGAGCAGAGAAATGGGGCAGTAGCTGGTGGGGGAAGTGGAGTGGATAAAATATTTTTTTAAACATGTGGGTTGATATTTCCCTCAATAGCCACAACTTGTTGGTTGACATTCCAGTCTATTCTACCTCCAAAAACCCTCCCAGATTTTTTTCTCCCCAGCACATTACCCCTGCCCTACCTCAGGCCCTCACTCTTACCCACATTCCTGCAGTGATAGTCCAGTGTGATTCCCAGGCTGCCATGAGCAGGGTCAGCCTGCAAACCAGTGCCCATGGTTTCCCCCTGCTGACTCGTTTCCTAAAAGATGAATACTGGATGCCTGAATGAGGGATGGATGATGTTCCTAAGTATGAATCGGGGTCCCAACAGGAAAGAGAGAACACACCCCAGTTAGAATGAGAATAACATGAGAATTTAATAAAGGGACTCTTTTCAAAGGAATGAGCAGGGTGTAGGGAGATCACAAAGGTCAGTGCAGTTTCCTGAGACTAGTAACTGTGGGACTCTGTTACATGTAAGCCTGAAAAGGGTCGCTGGAGGGGAGGGAATGGGAAGATGTATAATAGCTTCTGGAAATCTCTGTGGGGCTGAAGAGTGAGTTCCCCCACAAACCCTGGAAATAAGAGTGGCTCCTGAGAGTTACAAAAATCCCACCCAGAACAGATGGAGTAAATCCAAGATGGGTGGTCTGTAAGTGTGTGACTGAAGTGTTTGGAAACCAGCTAAAGGCCATCAAGGTGGTGGCTGGACTGGGACTCTAGTTGGGTGAGTAGAAATCCCATCAGTTGTTTTAAGGGAGCTAATAAAGGTAAAGTGTATACAAGTGTCTAGCACTGAGCAAGCACTAAGGAAGTAGATGCTATTGTTAAACCCAGTTTGGAGAAAGGATATGTGAATAGGAAAGGGAGGGTCCTAAAAGTAGCCGGGGAAAAATATCTTGGCTCTAATCTTGGAGACACTGGGCTGAACTGTCTTTGGAATCCAGGCTGCCCCTATGCAGGGAACAAGGTTTCAAGGTGACTTGGCTGAAAGACTTGTCATACCATGAATTCTTTCCCTCTTGGGGGCTGGTTTCCAGCTCCCTGAGCTAATCTGGTAACTAGGCTTCCCAAGGAGCATCCCAAACTGCCTTGACCTGTCGATGCAAAAATTCAGTTCTGCCTGACAGCTATTTCTCTGTGCAGATTAATACCTGGCCTTCTGGGGTTTGTACACAAGCCTTTGTTCTGGTCATATGCCAGTTCTGCACAGGGAGTTGGATCCACTCACTGCACCAGTGAAATTGGGTTTTGGAGCCAGAGGTGTGGGAGCCATGCCCTTCAAAACAGCCAAATCACCTTTAGCAGCACCACCTCATGCCAGCTAATGTGCAACAAGTGGGAAGAGTGAGAGAGAGGGGAAGGGAGTTCTAGCTAGAGGGAGCAGACAAGGCTCCAGGGAATAGCCAGGAAAGGAGGTGAGGACTGAAGCCTTTGCCTCACCTTAGGCACCTCTTCCTCCAGGAAGCCTTCCTTGATCCTTGCTCCACCCAGGCTGGGGTAGGTGCCCTCACATGCACTTTTCATGGCACTGGTCACTCTGGGTAGAGGTCCTCTGTCTAGTTGTGACAACACGTCTGAGCTTCTGGAAGGTAAGGATGTCTTATTTGGCTTTGTAGTCCAGGGGTTGGTACAGAGTAGGTACTCAGTTAATGCTTCTTGAGTGCATGACTGACAATAAGATAGAATAGATGGATTAAAGAAGGTGAACTATAAGCCCCCAGGGCAGGAGCCCCTCCTGCCTGATTGTGCCATACTCCCCAGTGCCCAACACAGTGCCTGACAGAATCAGGGCCCAAAGTGTTCCAGATATGCTAACCGAGGGTCAAGGCCCCGCCCCCTTCTTCTGGAACCCTATCTACTGGGCCGCCTCTTTCTCCTTGCTGTTGCTGACGAGGACAGAGCATCTAGAACCCGCCGCCGCACAAAGCAACACGAACCGGGTCGTGCTTAGGTTTGTTCCTTGTCGCTGCAGATGTAGGATTCCTTCCCCCTGAACGAAGTCGCCAAGGGCAGTGGTGCTCCTGGTGCTGTCTGGCTAGGCGACTGGGACCCGCAGCGGTTGGTATCCCAGGACAGACTCCCGGGACGCGCAGGCTGCACTGCCGCTGCGCAGAACGATCCCAGAGTCGCGCCACGACCCCCTCCCGGCCGAGTAGTAGTGGAGGGTAGAAGGTGGGAAGGGGGCGTCCATCGCTGCGCTCCCCTGCGGCTTGCGCGTCTCTCCGCGCACCCCGCCCCACGCCCGTCCATGGCTCTGGCGCCCCGCTTGCAGCCCCGCGCTTTGCAAACTTTCGGAGTTTCACTCCACTTGCGTCACGGAAAAGGCAGGAGGGTGGCGCAGTCCAGGAAGCGAGGCAGCGGCGGCTGGCGAGCTCCCCCGCGTGGCGCTCGAAGCCCTGGGGGCGTGAGGTGTCTCCTGGCGGGGACGGACAGGCTTCGGGGAGGGAGGTGGCGGTCCCAGGGACCAGTCCCGGAGGCTCTCGGGGCCCCGTGCTCGCGGGCCGTGTCCTCTCTCTCGCCTCCCGACTGGGCGCGAGCAAGCGAGGCGTCCGCCAGACGGAAAGGAGCGCGGAGGAGGAGGCGGGGGCCCGCTCCGGCGCCCCAGGCCCGCGGGAGGGCGGAGCCGGCCGCTCCTGCCCAGCCGGGACGCGCGGAAGTGCGACGGAGTTTGCCCAATTCCCCAGCCTGCTTTTCCTCCCTCTCTCCACCCTTCACCTCCCCTTCGGCTGCTCCCTCCTTCCTCGGGACGCCACCTCCCGATCGCCTTTTTGTTTTGGAGCTGGCTTCCCGCTGCGGCGCCCGGGCGGCGAGTGCGGGCGAAGGCAGGCTGGGGGCTCAGTCCGCGGCCCACTGGCCGGCCCTCAGCACGGCGCGGAGGACGGACGGACGCGCGGCCGGCCGCGCCATCTGCTCGCCGGAGCTCCTCTGCAGACTGCTGCTGAGTGTGTGCGTGCACGCGAGGGGCGGGGGGTCGTGAGTCCGGGTCCGGGGTTACTGCTTTCCGCTGGGGTTACCTTTGGACGGGGGCCCTTCGACTCGGATTGGAATTGAGCAAACAAAAGAGACCAGCGAGTGGCCAGAAGTCGCCCGACCGCCTCGCCGCGCCCCCTCCTCCCTCCTAGGTGGGGGCTGGCCACTTGAGGGCGGGGAGAGGGCGACCGAGCCGGCGGGGGGCCGGCTGCGCAGCTGGGGTCGAAGAGTTGGCGGCCTGTTGTGTAAGCCTCAGTCCTTGTTTTCCCGGCCTGCCTCGTTGTGAAGCCGGACACATCCACCCTTGGACTCGATTCAGGAGGCTGCTGCTTTTCTCCTTGCCCCTGTTGGGTTTTCTGGATTTTTGAAAACCCAATGGCCTAGGCGGAGGAGGAGGAAGGAGGAAGGGGCAGATCTGCAGAGGAATGTGAGAGCCTCCCAAAGCCAGAGCAGCCAAAAGGAGCTGGGAGCCAGAGGGACGGCAGAGCCCTGCTGAGTTTCTGGAATGGTGGTTTCCGAGTGATTCTCTTCTATTTTAGAACATTGTTCCAGTGGAAAGTGTCGAATTCTTGCCCTTGCAGAGCTGGTTTCTCCAGGTCACTTGACCGTTCTTCTGAAAGTGGGAGGAAAGAGAGACTCCCCCGACGCAGCCAGGCTGCAGAGGGAGGAAAGAAGACTATAGACGTGAGCCCTGCCTGCTCACAGGCATATGCCCAGAGACCTGATAGGGCAGTTTCTGGGACATGGACATTGCTTTGAAGAGGAGCAGGCTGGACGGCATTTGTGGGTGCTGAGACCCCAAGCTGGGAGCTGAGAGACTGAGCTGTGTAACAGGCATTGAGTTGCTAGTGCATTCTTGGACACCCCAGTGAGCCTCCTTGGTCTGGGCAGAACTCTCTCCTTCCCATCTTCCTCTACCACACAGACCAGCTATGGCACTGAAAGGCCGAGCCCTCTATGACTTCCACAGTGAGAACAAGGAGGAGATCAGCATCCAGCAGGATGAGGACCTGGTCATCTTTAGTGAGACCTCACTGGACGGCTGGCTGCAGGGCCAGAACAGCCGTGGCGAGACAGGGCTCTTTCCTGCCTCCTATGTGGAGATCCTCCGTTCTGGCATCAGCACCAACCATGCTGACTACTCCAGCAGGCTTGCAGGCTCTCTGAGCACCCAGGTGAGCTTGTATAACAGCTCCAGTGTGGCCAGCCCAGCCAGGAGTGGTGGGGGCAGTGGTTTCCTCTCAAACCAGGGCAGCTTCGAGGAGGATGATGATGACGACTGGGATGACTGGGACGACGGATGCACAGTGGTGGAGGAGCCACGGGCTGGTGGGCTGGGCACCAATGGGCACCCTCCACTCAACCTCTCCTACCCTGGTGCCTACCCCAGCCAGCACATGGCCTTCCGGCCCAAGCCAGCCCTGGAGCGGCAGGACAGCCTGGCATCTGCCAAGCGAGGCAGTGTGGTGGGGCGCAACCTCAACCGTTTCTCGTGCTTTGTGCGCTCTGGAGTGGAGGCCTTCATCCTGGGCGATGTGCCCATGATGGCCAAGATCGCCGAGACATACTCCATTGAAATGGGCCCTCGTGGCCCCCAGTGGAAGGCCAACCCCCACCCGTTTGCCTGCTCTGTGGAGGACCCCACCAAACAGACCAAGTTCAAGGGCATCAAAAGCTACATCTCTTACAAGCTCACACCCACCCATGCTGGCTCACCGGTCTACCGGCGCTACAAACACTTTGACTGGCTCTATAACCGCCTGCTACACAAGTTCACTGTCATTTCAGTGCCCCACCTGCCTGAGAAGCAGGCTACAGGCCGCTTTGAGGAGGACTTCATTGAGAAGCGGAAGCGGAGGCTTATCCTCTGGATGGACCACATGACCAGCCACCCTGTGCTGTCCCAGTATGAGGGCTTCCAGCATTTCCTCAGCTGCCTGGACGACAAGCAGTGGAAGATGGGCAAACGCCGGGCAGAGAAGGACGAGATGGTGGGTGCCAGCTTCCTGCTCACCTTCCAGATCCCCACGGAGCACCAGGACCTGCAGGACGTGGAGGACCGTGTGGACACCTTCAAGGCCTTCAGCAAGAAGATGGATGACAGCGTCCTGCAGCTCAGCACGGTGGCATCAGAGCTGGTACGTAAGCATGTGGGGGGCTTCCGCAAGGAATTCCAGAAGCTTGGCAGTGCCTTCCAGGCCGTCAGTCACGCCTTCCAGATGGACCCCCCCTTTAGCTCTGAGGCCCTCAACAGCGCCATTTCTCACACGGGCCGTACCTACGAAGCCGTCGGTGAGATGTTCGCTGAGCAGCCCAAGAACGACCTCTTCCAGATGCTCGACATGCTGTCTCTCTACCAGGGCCTGCTCTCCAACTTCCCTGACATCATCCACTTGCAGAAAGGTAAGTAAGACCCAGTGCAGGCAGGCTGAGTCTGGCTCTCTGCTGGGTGCTGGGATGTGAGCATGGCCTAGCAGAATGGAGCAGCTCATCTTGTCTCCGTCTCAGCCATTCATTCAGCAAGCGTGTCGAGTGTCAGCTGTGTGGCAAGTGCAGTTCTAGGTACAGGGGTATTGTGGGCAGGCCTCGCTCCTGACCTTATGGAGCAAGGCATCTACCTTCCTGTCCGCTCATTCATTTTCTCTGTTTCTATCTCGTTTACCTGTCGTGTGTGGAGCCCCTTCAAGGTGTCAGGCTGGGGTCTGGGAGCGCAGAGATGACCAGGTCCCAGGCCTTGCCCTTGAGGAGCCCACAGGGTAATGGCGGACATAGACCTAGACCCAGATAAGGGGAGCGCAGGGTGTGGGCCTATCTTCCACGCCTCGCAGGCTCACCTCCCGCCATCGCAGCTCCAGGGCTGCGCCCACGGCTGTGTACCCTGTGAGCGCCCTGTCTGTGTGGGAGGATCTCTGTCCCCGTTTGCAGATGAAGGAGCTGGTGTCCATAGAAGGGTGTTGCACAGTGAGTCCATGATCCAGCTGGGACTGTCTTGTCCTCCTGCCACCTCCCCAGGGACATGTCCATGTTGGCTGCCTCCCAAGCCCAGCCGTGTTTTCAGTTCTTATGACCCCTCTATGGGGGAGGGACAGGATGGGCCCTTGCCTGTTACTGCTGGGGCTGTCAAGGAACTGCCAGGGAAATGACTCATCCCGGGTCACACAGGGGCACTGGGCTGGGCCAGGGGAGCGGAACCGGGGTCCAGGGCACTGCCGCATGGCCCATCCAGCTCCCACATCCTGAGCCTGGCTTCTCTTCTTGCCTGAGGAGTGAGTCAGGGGCTGACCCAGCAGGTGGCTGGGTCCTGGGGACTACAAGGAGGGCAGATGTCAGGAGAGAGGTGTGGTTCTCCCTGGGGCTGCCTGGTAACTCAGGAAGAACGTCTGTAGGGTGTGGGGCTGGCTCCCTGCCCCTTAGGCCCTGAGGTCAGGCCTGGCTTGGTGAGGAGTTTTACTCTGGGTGGGGCAGGAGGCAGACCTCTGGACTGAGCACAGGGGACAGCAAATGTGCCCCTCCCCCCCAGGGACATCTAGGGCAAGCTGGCCCTGCCCTCCTCTACATCCTTTGGAGGTTGACTTCTAGAACTCCTCCAGCTCCCATCCTCCTTTCTCCCTGAACTTTCTCTGCGTCCTCTTCCTTTCTTTCTGCCCTTGCCCCCCTTTTGTCCTCATCTCCACCTTTCTTCTTCCTCCTTTCAGTTCCAGGAAACACAAACCTGAGCTCTAACCTTGGCTTAGGGGACAGAGCCCCCAATTTGCTGTGTGTCCCTGGGAAGTGACTTTGCCTTTCCGGGCTTTAGTTTTCTAATCTACAAAGCCAGGGAAGGGGGTCCCAGTGGGTTCTCAGGCCTTCAAGGAGGTGTGGGAGGGGACTCCCGGGGAGGGTCTGGCCCAGAAGCAGAGTGATGCCTCAGACCTGAGCTCTGGGCCAGGGGAGGGCAGGGGAGGTGGTGGCCGGCTGGGGGTGCACAGGGACGGGTGTCTCCCTATGCGGAAGTGGGAAAGCTGGTTCAACCAGCTCCTCAATGGCTTGTTCCTGAGTGGGCAGCAGGAGGCTGGGACACAATGATGACACAGCTGCCCCATGCAGTGGCTGGGGACCCTCAGCCAGAGCAGGGCAGAGGGCATGAAGGCAATCCCACACCCAGGGCACCCGCACTCCCAGGCTCAGACCTGCCTTCCCGACCCTGGGCCGGGGAGACGGAGCTGGGAGAGGCCGTTTCTGGGTTTCCACTGCAGGTGTTTCTGGGAGTCAGGGGCCGCCGGCTTCTGTGGAGATGCGGTCAGCCCTAAGCAAAGGCTGCCCCTGCCCTCGCCCCGCACACCCCACCCGGCAGGCCAGGCCCTTTGGGGCTTCCTCTAGGTTTCCGGCTCTGCACTGCCCCTCCCAGGCCTGTGGTGTGGGGCAAACTGGGAGGGGCTGGGAATCTGGCTGAGACAGAACTGGGCTGCTTTGGGGACCCCAGCCCGACAGGGGGTTGGGGGGAGGGGTCCCAAGCTGGCCCTGTGAGTGGAACCATTCTCAGAGGAAGGAGCAGGACAGCTGCTGGATCCTGAGTCCCCAGGATTCTGTCCACTCGTCTGGACATCTGAACGGGTGGCGAGTGTGTGGGGGAAACGGTGGGAGGAGGGAGAGCAGAGGCCCAGGCGGGGAGTTGGGAGAGCAGGATTTGGACAGACTTTGCCTCTGAGGTGACCTTGGGAGAGTCTCTGTGTTAATAAAATGGGACACGAAGGCTGGCTGGAGCTGAGATGAGGCCCCCAGCCTGGTCTGCCCACTGGCGCAGGCCCTGGAGCCCGGTGTAGATGTGTCCTCAGAAAAGGGTAACCCTATAATTAGCTGTCCAGACTGGCGCAGTTTTAGGGGTGAAAGGGGGCCCTAGCAGTTGTTATCTTGGGGCAACAAGGGGAAAGCAACTGTCCAGGGCCAGCCGGGACCTGTGGTCCCCACCTGAGAGCCAGCAAGGGCAGGGCTCGGTCCTAAGGCTCATCAAGTTGCGAGGTCGATGTCATCGCCTCCATTGTCACATGAGGCGCGGCGAGGTGAGACGGTGCGCCAGGGCAGGAATCCGAGCCCTGGTGTGTCTGACTCCACAGCCCAGGCTGTTTCCACTGTGCCGGACATTTGGGGGCAGGGTCTCCCCAAGGGATGGACAGCCGAGGCAGATAAGCCAGAAGGGGAAGGAGGAGGAGCAAGGCTTGGCGCCCGTGGTTGCTCAACTGGCATCCTCCGTGGACTGCAGGCAGGCCCAGGACCACGGAGCATCTCTGGGCTCACAGCTTGGCCAAGGCAAAGTGGCCCTTGTAGGAGCAGGCTCTTGCCTGGGGGACAGGTGGGTCAGCCTCTGTTGGTTCTGAGCCATCATCTAACCCTCCCTCTACCTCCCCTCCTAGGCTTCCGTAAACAAAGGGAATAATACTGCCATGAGCCACCGCCGCTGGTGCTTGCTGTGAGCTCAGGGATAGAAAAGCAGTTCGCACACCGTAGCACGTAGCACCTTGAGCTCTTGTGCTGTCTCAGGTGAGGTCCTTGGTGCTGTATACAAAGTTCAGTTAAGCCTCAGCTATACCATAGGGCAGGTGCTAGTAGCATCCCATTTTACTGAAGTGGAAATGCTAAAGCACTATACTGTTGTGAGCAGTTGTCAACAGCATCACATCTAGTGCACCAAGTCCCGTTTGACACTGGGAGACCTGTAGCCCACGCGAGAGCAGTGGCTTGCTGGAGGGGACACAGCGGGGACTAGGACTCAGACATCCTGCCCCAAACCTGGGGTGGCTGGTAACTACCTCTAAGAGGTAGGGGCAGGATAGATTGAGCTGGGAGCTTAGGGGCTACGCCTGGGACCCACGACTCTGCAGCTAGTAGGCTCCAACCCTCCTCTCCCCCTTCCTGGGACCCAGCCTGCAGAACTGCTGGGGCAGAAGGTTCCCTTGGGTCCTCAGCTCTCAGGTTGGGTCCTACGTGGAATGTAGGGGGATGCTGGACAGGCCTGAGCCCTGACTCCCGGCCTGGTGGGTGCGGTGTGTTAGCGTTAGCTGGTCCTGTCTCCAGAACTGAGTCACAGGGTGGAGATGTGACGGAGAGCAGGGTGGGGCCTCCGCCACTCTCCGACCCCTGTGACATTTGCCCCCCGTCCCCAGCCCTGTCTGTGGATATATAGCAGTTGCAATAGGTTCATTCCTACTGTTTGGGCCTCAGTCTTCTCATCAAGAAAAGGGGCTTTTCATTCCTCCAAGGCCATGGGCAGGAAAAACCCTCGAGTATATAGATCCACCCCCACTGCACCCCGACTTTCTCAGGCCGGTGGAATCCAGGCTAGCTCAGCATCTCCACACTCAGGTAGATTCCTCTTGCTGAAGTTTAACTTGATTCCTTTGTCCTGCTGTGTTCTACCTTTCCTCTTACGGTCCTTCCTATCCCTTGGGGCCTTCTTGAATCCCTGTGTCCATTGTCTGGGGGCCCCACACATATGTCTGGAGAACCCGACATGGGGTCACTGCAGCAAAAGTGGTGTCCACCCAGAGCCGTGGAGGGCCAGGCATCCCCCATTGGGGCAAGAAGGAGGCTGGCGGCCCCTAGGCAAATCCCTGCCCCCTGAGGGCCTCAGCTTCCTCCGTATCGTAGTGGGGTGGGGGTGCGGGCTGGACAGCTGACCTCTCAGGCCTCTCCAGCTCTGAAATTTCTTACTGGGTCCCATCCTGGGCCTTGGGGTGATCCCCCTTCTGCTGCCCAGGGCTGGGCTGTTGGGATGGAGTAGGGGCAGTTCAGCGAAGGTGGCAGAAGGACTGGGAGTGGGCTGGGACCCAGGGACTGCACATTTCTTTTGGGTGCTGTGTGCGCAGCCCCTGGAGACTCTCTGATCTTGAATTTCTCTGCCTGAAAGGCTACTATGAGCAGTTAGCCATGCACTTGCCAACTAATACGGGTATTGCCCCTTCTAAAGACATCCAGAATTAACTCTAGCATGCAGGGCCCTGGGCCTGGTATATATAGTAAGTGCTCAATAAATGCATTTTGAATACACCAGACAACTTGCGTGAGAGTAAAAAGAATACCATCCAGAAGGCCCTCAAGAGCCCTCCTCGAGGAGAAGTGGAGAGCGTGGACAGGAGCTCGCTGTCTGTGTGCAGCGGGTGCTGCTGAAGTGCTCGGGTGTGTGCTGTCCTCCACGCCACCTCCCACCTGCTAGTCTTCTTGGCACAGTGGATCCCTGTATCGCTCAGAAGCCAGTGCTGGGCACAGGCCCACTGCCTCCTCTTCCAGCAACTGTCCCCACGGGCTTAAAGGCAGATTAGTCAAATGCCTTTCAATTCTGAACTGAAATTCATTCACCAACTGCTTGTTGATTCATTCAGATTTTTCCAAATTTGGTCCCCTGCCCAGGTTCTTCGTCCCCCATCTGTCACCTGGTTATTACTAAAGCTTCCTCTAGGGCCCTGGGGGCTGGGGTGTGGAGGGAGCAGGGTCTGTAGGGGGAGACACACCATGTGGCCTTCGAAGTGCTATTTTAGATTCAGCACTGATGGGGAGGGGTGGGAGTGGGAGCCAGGGGAGAGGTGAGACGGGAGAGATGTCCTGCCCGGGTGAACTCGAGGAGGCTTTACTGTAGAAGTGGCACCTGATTGGGCCTTGAATTATGAGTAGGGATCCAGTGGGAAGAGGTAGGAAGGTAGGAAAGAGCAGGGTGAGTTTGACGAACATGGGGTCAGTGTGGAATGCGTGCAGGGGCCAACTCCCAGAGGGCCTGCTGGCCAGGCAGATGGGCATAGATCTTGATCTGCAGGCTGTGGGGAGCCAGGGAAGGTGCCCAGATGAGGGGACCCTTTTGGGCACTGCGGAGAACCTCTCAGAAACTCCAGTGGTGGGGAGGCCCTGGGGGACCGTTGCAGCAGTACAGTGAAGACGGGGTTGACACCTATCAGGATCTGCTGTGCGCCAGGCCTTTTTCCGGGTACTAGGGACACAGAGAGGATGAGGACAGGCCCTGGCCTCACTCATTTCACAGTCCAGAGGGAGGCAGTCAGAGAAATCACAGGTGGTGAGAGCTGTGGTAGAGGGAAGCCCAGGGAACCTGGGAGCATCGGGAACCTAATGCAGTGGGGTGTAGGGAAGGCTTCCTGGAGGAGGTGATGTTTGAGCTGAGTTAGGAGCTAGTGTGAGAGATGATGAGGCCTTTGGTGGGTAGGGGGAGGAAAAGCCCAGTCCTGGAAATAAATATGCCCAGCAGGTCAGATGTGGGCTGCTGGCGATGCTGCAGATTTGGAGGGAAGATGGTGTGTCTGGTTTAGGATGTGCTGAGGGTGAGGGTCTGGGCAACTTCCTGGCAGACACCCAGGCGGCTGGACTGTGTGGGTCTGGAGTTCAGGAGTGAGGTCTGAATCGAGCTGATGAGGGTGTTGTCTGCTCTTGGGGGCGGGGGGGGCACACGGAGGGAGGAGGAGCAAATGGAGGAGAGCTGAGCCCTAACCTGCTGTCCTCTGCTCTCCTGGGCCAGGCGCCTTTGCCAAGGTGAAGGAGAGCCAGCGCATGAGCGACGAGGGCCGCATGGCGCAGGACGAGGCAGACGGCATTCGCAGGCGCTGCCGTGTGGTGGGCTTCGCCCTGCAGGCCGAGATGAACCACTTCCACCAGCGTCGTGAGCTCGACTTCAAGCACATGATGCAGAGCTACCTGCGCCAGCAGATCCTCTTCTACCAGCGGGTGGGCCAGCAGCTGGAGAAGACCCTGCGCATGTATGACAACCTCTGACCACGTGTGTCTGGCCCCTCCTGCCCCCAGGCCCGGTTGCTACAGTGCACCCCGACTTCCCAATCTCCCTATACCAGCAGTAGCTGGAGGGGGCAGTCACTGGTGGTGAGGAAACAGCCTGTGGCCCCCTCCTGGGAGAAGGAGCTTTCAAGGAGCTGTCGGTGCCCCTTAGAGTTGGGGCACAGCGGGGGTGAGGACGGGGCCGGGGACCCTCCAGGCCAAGGCCTGGGCTGTGGATCAGTAAACGAAGGCCAGGCCAGGGGCTGAGCCTCCCCTAGAGCCTGCAGTGCTTACTCACCTGGCCACCACCCCTGTTCCTTCAGCAGACACCGAGGCCTGCTGTGGCCCTGGGTCAGACGCTGGGCACCCAGGGCTGCGATCTGCCTGCCCTTGGGGAGTCCTCAGTCAAGGGTCAGACGCAGAAACAGACAGGCAGTGCAGCACAGCAGATGGTTCAGTCAGGGCTTCCCGAAAGCTCGAGGGAACGGAGCATTCTGCCGGGCAGGGAAGGCCCCACAGAGTAGGCGATATTTGAGTGGTGTTTTGAAGAATGACAAGGACCTGCCAGACAGTAAATGGGGAGGACATTGAGGGGAGACGAATAGCTTGGCAAAGGGATGGAGGCACAAAAACTTCTCCCTCTTCTCTTCCTCACCTTTCCTAGCAAGTTTGGTGCCCCCTCCGTGGGGATCTGGCCTGCGTGGCAGAGGGAAGGATCTTCCTTGCTCCTGCAGTGCTGGCGTCCGCTTCACCCTGTCCCCTGTAGGAGGGGCTGCAGGCCAGCTCCCTGTGGGCCTCTGACTGCCGCCACTGCTGGGCCCGCGTCTTCCCTTGGTTAGGGGACCATGCCACATCCCTCCCTCCTGGGCTCAAGGTGCTGGTGGCACCTTCCTGGAGAAGACTCCCCCACAGTCCCCATGTATTTGAGTTCACACTCCAAGCAGGCCCAGACCTCGGGCTCCTGGGGTCCTTGGCCACCATCTTCCCCAAATCCTTCCTGTCGCACAGTGGGAAACTCAGGAGGAGAAAGCCGGGGCCTGCTCACCCACTTGTCCCAGGGATTCCAGGCCCACCTGCCCGCAGCCAGCCTCGCCGTGGTGTGCACCCCACTCCTGGTCAGACTGTGCTGCCTCAGACCAGACTGATGTTTACGTCCCCAGGGGGTTCCTGCCTCCTCCCTGCCCAGGCCAGGGTGTGGGGGGGCTGATCTGTGCCACCCCTCCCCCACTGGGAGGTCATGGTCTGTTCCTGGCTGCTGCTGCTTGAATCTTTTTCTTTCTTTCTTTCTTTTTCTTGATAAACCTTTTACAATTAAGATAACAACAGCATGACTCTTTCTGTTTGGATCCTGGAAGGGATGAGGTGGGGGAAATATAGAACCCTGATTACTCCTGGGAGTCTTTGGGTCAGATTCTGAGATGAGAGTGGGCAAAAATTTTACCATAGAGCCTCAAAAGTTGGGGGCAGCTGTGCTGCCGGGAGGGACCCCCTGGTAGGAGCTGGCGGTGGCCGTGAGCCCCACTCCCCTTGTGTCTGAGTGAGGAAGGGCTGCCCAGGGCTTGGGCTGGGCTGCTCCGTGATGGAGGACTGAGCTTTTCGTGAGGAAGGGACAGGAGGCTGTGCCCAGGACAGTCTCATAGACGGGTGGCTCCTCTCCCCTGGGAGCCATGTCCTGGAAAGCCCTAGTCCAGGGCATGGGGACTGGGGGGACTCAGAAACTCTCTTTCCCCCAAGCTGTCTGTGGTGCCCCACTGGAAAGTGAGGAGGACCCTGGCTGTGCCCTTGGGGTGCCCCGGCCAGGATAAACGGGTCTGTTCATCCCCAGAAGAGAGACGAGTGCTGGCCGAGATACGGTTCTCTTTCGGAGGCAGTGGGATGCGGTGGAGGAAAGGCCTGCAGGGTCCAGCCCGTCTGGGAGGGCTCTGGCCAGGCCGGGGCCAGGCGCTGGTGGCAGGGAGCTGGGGAAGGGCCAGCAGGTGGCGGGCAGGGCTCCCCGGTCAGGAAAAAGCATCCTCAGAGGAACTTCTGGAAGGGGTCCCCCTGGCTCTGGGTCAACATTAGGTCAGATTTGGGACTTTCTGAGGAATTTTCCCCACCCTCCTCCCTTCCCTCCTTCCTTCGTTCTCCATCCCATCTGGGGAGCTTCTCACCCTTAACCTCTTCTCAGCTCCCGCCTCCATGAGGCCTTCTGCAGAGGGGGCTCCGAGCATAGGGTGGGGGCTCCTTCCCAGGCCAGTCTGGGCAGGGCTGCGGGAATGCCCCTCTCAGCCCACAGTGCCTGGAAAGTCCCCTGCTCAGGCTTCCTGCCCTGGGGACAGTGCTACCCTCTATGTCCCTTCCTTGGGAGGGAGCCACCTCCCACGGCTGTCAGCCTCAGGGTGAGGCAGTCCGTCTGACACTTTTCTCAGGGGGCTTGGATCTAGGAGAAGAATCGGAAAGTGAAGTCTTGGGGTGGGGCCGGGCCTGCTCTGGGCACTCCGAGGCTTCTGGGCTGGGACAGGTGTCAGGCGGGGGGGTGGGCGGTGGAGTGAGGATGTCACACCTCTCTGCCCTCCCATTTCTTTCTATCTCTGTGCAGGTTTGGGTGTCGGGAGAGTTTGGCTGAGCCCCTCTCGGGAAGGGACTGGAGGCCCAGTGTGAGGGCATCTTGGTGGTGGCGGGGCCTGCTGGCTGGCCTCGTCACATGCGGGGCAGATGTTCAGACTGAGCTGGGCCCAGCTGCCTCCAGTTCCCTCCCTCACTTTGCTCAGAGGGAGGTGGAAAACAAGGCTTCTCTTTCTGCCCTGGGCAGCTACCAGGACCCGGGGGTGGGGGACCCCTGGTCCTCAATCTTGGCCCAGCCCAGGAAAAGGAGTCTGCTTTGTGGCCACAGGCGGGGGCTGGGGATGGAGACAGACCTCGGATCCTACGTCCCGTCACCCCCTGGACACAGGAGGGCTGTGAACTGCTGTGCCACGGCTGTGCCGCTGGCTGAAGCAGAGCCAGCCTGGGAGAGACAGGTGGCCCAGCGGCCCCAGCTCAGCACCAGCACCCATCTGGTGACAGCGCTACACGTCGTCCGCACACCCACAGAACCCGAGAGACAACCCTGGAGACACAGCCACACACGGTTTCACAGGAGTGTAGGCCACGCTTGCATGCTCGTGTGCTCGCACAGTTGCACCCTGGCCGCTGTGCCACCCACTATCACATGTGCACGGCCTCGCTAGCCACTTCCACGTGTCACCAGCCATTCACAGCATCAGTTTCAGCTGCTTTGTCACACACAGCCCTGCCACAGTCCTGTGTACACGGTCATAGCCTTACATAGTGACACATTCAGGCATATACACAAAGTCACACGTGTTCATAGCAAAAGTGTCACAAGCTTGGCCGTGCCTAGACCACACCTGCACCATCTCCCAGGCCCCCAGCCCAGCTCGTCAGAGATCCAGGAGGAGAGCTTTGGGGATAAGCAGCCCTGGGAGGAGTGTCCCCAAGGGAGAGTATGGCAAGTCACAAGTACACATGCAGGCACACCCCCTGAGAGGTCTGGGTGTGCTGTCTGGATGACCGGACACGTCCAAGTTCAACTCCATTGCACAGACGGGACCTGAGACCCAGTGAGCAGTGGTGGCCAACCACGCCACACCACCCCACACCACCCAGAGGGCGGGGGGTACGCTGGGGCCAGAGCCGAGCTCTGAGCACGTTCTGTGGCCTCGCCCTGCCCACGCCTGAACCAATCCCCTGGGCCAGGCTGCCTCGGAAGGCCCCTGGATGAACCATCCAACAAAGCTCCGGATACCACCCGTCTGTTAAGCCAGAGGCGAGCCGCAGCGTCCACGGGCGCAGGAGCCAGGATGCAGTGGGCAGGGCCAGGGCCTGGGCGGGAGGAACATTCCTGCACCATCTCCTCCCCAAGCATGTGAGGACCGGGCCGCCCTGCCTGCCCGCCCGCTGACTCAGGCCTCCAGGAGCCAAGCCCGCCCAGCTCCCCTGCCCACCCCAACCTGCTTCCCCCAGAGTTGCCCGGCTTCCTCTCGCCACTGGCTGGGGCAGGAGGAGATGATGAGCCCGGGCAAGAAGACCAGGGGGAAAAATCAAACCTCGCCTCCCCCAGACAGAGCTCAGAAGGGCTGATTGTGAAACCCGGCTCTGGGGTTCAACACAGTTTAACACAGACCCTTTTCCTTTTGGTTTTGTTAGTCAAACCCCACGGCAGTGCAGTCTTTAAAACGCAGTGCTCACATACTGCGCGCGGCCTCTGCGGTCTGCACAGCAGCCTGGTAGGCACCATTATTCCCTTTCACAGACGGAGAGACTGGGACTTGGCCAGAGGGGAGACGGGACCTGCCCAGGGTCACGCAGCGAGGCTGTGGCAGGGCTGGACTGGAACCCGGCTCTCTCCTTTCACTCCTTAAAAGTCATGTTGACTTATTTGGGCCCAAAGGAAGAGGTGGCAGCAGAGCTCCACTCCAGAGGTGTGACCCCAAGTGCTGATGTGTGAGGGGTGTCCAGGCATGGGGCGAGCGCCCCCAGCCCGCAGAGGCAGAGTGTGAAGGCAGCATCGCAAGGCGCTGCAGCGACTCGGGAACTCCGTTTACAGAGGGACGTGTGAGGAACACGACTTCACTTCTCTATATCTGAGCTGAACTTCTCTTTTGCTCCTCCGTTCTCCCAGATGACAGAAAAACAATCTCACATTACTTTGGGGGCCCCTCCTTTCCCGAGGAATGCATGTAAGTTTTGGGGATGGCACATCTGAAGCCCTTGGGCAAGCCCCCAGCACTTTGAATTTCGGAGGCTGGATCCCACGCCCAGCACACGTATTAAAATTTGCCTGCATTCTGCATTGAAGGGTTCAGTTTACGACTTGACAATGTAGCTCTTGTCTTGTAGATATTTAATTAAACTTACTAATTTTGATTTTGCCTTTTGATTTTCCTTTTTTGCCTTTTCTTTTGGTGCACTGCTCCCTGCGCTCCCACCGGCCGCAAACGTTGTTACGGGTGGGTTCTTGTAGAGCTCCTGGACCCTGGCATTGGGCCTGGGCTGCCTGCCATGGCCGTGGTCAGTGCCGGGCCCCCTGGTCATCTTCCCCCGACTCCTGCCGTCCCACCGCCTGCTGCCTTAGTGCCCGTCCTGAGGCTCTGTGATCTGGCTTTCTCTTAGCCCTGGCGCGCTCAGGGCTCCCTCCATTGCCCGAGGGGCTGGCAAAGGTCCCTTCTGTGGCCTGTAGCCCCCTCTGGGCCCATGGTCATCATCCCGCAGCTCCCACCCCCTGGGGAAGCAAAGGGAGCTCTGGGATGCTGCTTAGACATCCCGTGCAACCCTCTGTCTCCTGAGGTCTGGCTGCCTCCTTGGGGTCCTGCCTGGGAAGGGGGTGTAAGTCCCACTGCTCTTGGGTCTCCCACCTTCTCTGGGGCTTCTGCCTTCTCCCAGTGCAGGGCAGCGCCACGATGGACACTGGGGGTTATTTCACCACCACCCTGTGTGCAAGAGATTATCAACATCATTTTACAGACAAGGAAATGGGGCCAGCGAGGGAGGTGCTGGATGCCCAGGCCTGGGCCCTCTGTGCTGAGAGGCCAGTGGCTGATGCTGGGCTACGAGTCGGAGGCTGGCTGAAGCTGGGGGCACGTGGAGCCTCTTCTGGACTGACCCGAACTCCTTGCTGTCATTTGGCAGGCGTGCTCTGGGGTTAAGGGAGTGAGTATGAGGCCCCTCATGTAGCCCTGCTGCCCCACGGATGGCAGCAGGCCCTGGCTGCTTTCCTTCCACCACCCAGAGACAGGACTGAGCCAAGTGCAAATCCTGCCCGATGTGTCCTTGCTGTAGGGACTTTTCCTAACTGCCGCCTGCTTCCACTTCTCCGTTGATAACATGGAGTTGCAGATGCTGTTAGAGGCTTAGGTGAGAGAACACATCCGCTGGGCTTACACGGCTCGCACAGCAGGCAAGGAGTAGCTGGTTCCCAGCCTCGGAGCACAGCCAGAGCAGCCCTGGGGAGAGGCCAGGCCAAGGATATTGGCACCCCCACTTCATAGATTAGAAAACCGAATGGGCAACCCTTTAAGGCCACACAGTGGGTAGATGGCAGGGTGGGGCTGGAAGAGTCCTTGACCTCCTCCAGGCCTCGAGCTTTGCCCTGGGTTGCTACACTGTCTCCATGGGGAGCAGACTCCTTGGGGCCTCCCGGCTGTCATGGTATTTGTCAG